CTTTAGCCTGGTGCAAATACCAAAAAACGAGCCCATTAACAAGATTAGATCAGCGCAGCAACATCTCTTGTTCCAGCCACTCTGCTGATGTGTCGGAATAGTAAACAGGATTCAGGCCAGGCTTTACCCTCCAGCTGGGCCGAAGGTTGGCCAGTTTCCCCGCTCCCTCTCCCTCCCCGCACCCAGGAGCTGAGAGGTGTGAGCTGTAACGGCAAAACCTGACTTTCCAAAGGGACACAAGAAGTGCCGCCCCCCCACCGAGCATTTAAATTGATACTATCTAGTTACTCTCCCGCAACTGAGAAGGAAACATGGAAGGCCTGGTCTAGTATGAAGAGCAAGGCTGGATTTACTGATACAGCAGCTCCAATAGCACTCAAAGCTTTAATGCCCTGTAATCTTCTCTAACACACCAAGCTGGATATACTATAAGAGGTGAGAGTATTAAAACTGTGAGGAATAGTCAATTATGCAATTTTTTTTTTTGTTAAAGAAGTTCATTGAGAAAAGAAGGGAAATATCTCCTGATATTTCTGAGGCTGAAATAAAAGCCAGACAGAGCTGCAGTGTCACAGCCTTAACCAATCAATAACTACCGCCCTGTTGAATCTCTATAAAACTCATTGTAATTTACCAGGAGCAAGTGCTGAGTGCGTCAGTCAGCCCACGAACTGTTTCTTATAACCCAGCAGTTGTGTCGCAGCACCAGCTCAAAGAACTAACCCGCTGCTTTATCAATAGCAGGCCTGAATGAAAGGAAACCTTTGGGGGTATTGACTAGTCTTAATTGCCACATCTGTCAGTACTGATTTATCACAAATACAAAGTACCCTTTTTAAAGGGGGCGGGGGGACCCTGCGAATTAATAAACAAAGCAAAAATGATTAAATGCGGGACAGGCTACATGAGGTTTGATGAAAGTTGTCTTTGCTTTAAAGTGTGTGACACAGTTTAATGTGTTGTGAATTGTATTTCCATTAAATCAGATAACACGCTGATGCAAAGTGACATCGTCTTTCTTCTGATGCTTCAACCTAAAGACAAAAAACAGTCAGAAGACACTTTAACCTAACACGTTGTCACATTTGACTGACTGTTTCCCCTTTACTTCACTCACAAAAGAAGCGCAGACAGTCAGCCAGAGAAGGCGCAACACAAAGCCTGAAGTCAGACACGCACAGTGTGCTCTGCCAGGAAGACAGCAGTGGAGGGGACAGCTCGTTCGCTTCGCTGCCTCTGTGCTCAGATGTCGACGGGCTACCTTTACTCCGGGGACAGCAGTCACCTTACAACATAATGGACTATTAATAGAGGGTAGAGGCAACAGGCGTCTTTCCTTTCACCACAAGCACGGGCAGGTGTGGGGCCACATCTACCACACCTCCGTCAAATAACCCCACTGGCACTAAAAGACAAAGAGTCTGTTTCAGAAAATGTGGCATGAAATGGTCTGAAAAGAGATTTGATCGTGTTTCTGCCAGCACACAGAGTAGAGAAAGCTCCCTATTCAATCTGCATTTTTAGTTTTGGAGCTGCAGGAAAACATCGTGAGTCAGAAGTTTGCTTCACAGCCCGGGAGGCAAAATCGTACTGATGAGCATTCGCCGCGTTATTTGATGTACACAGACGGTTCTCAGGGGACCCTTTAAACAAGCACTCCAACCTCCCAATTAAAGATGACATTTGAAAAAGACATTAACCCAGAGGGATCAACTTAAGATTTGCATTATTTTATGGCTGCAAGCAATTACAGAGTGCATTAACACATCATGCTAGAGCCATCTAAACTGTGAAAGCATTTAAACTTCACAGTCATGGCTTTGACTCGCAGCACGGTGAGCAGAGGAAGGTTAATGCCATTAGGTGCACCTTCACTCTTTAATTAGGGAAACTGGGTCAGAGACAGGTCGAACATCTGTTGCTGGAAAACACTATGACCAAAAGATCCCACTGATATAAATGCTTTGGTAACATGACAGGCCTCAGTATGACGTACAAACTGCTGAAACGGTCTGTGTACATCAAATAATGCAGGGTGTTTCAGTGTTGACAAAAGCAGCAGCAATAGCAAACAAACAGGTTAAACATGCAACAGCCAAGCAGCGAAAGTGAAAATCAACTAATTTTGCATGACTAAACAGCAGCTCAAGATCTGGCTTTCTGCCTCTGTCCCACCATCTTTGTCAGTATATCAAAGAGGTTTAGGGGGGAAAGCTGTGAAGATTATGTCACACAAAGCAGGTACAGCTTTGTTCCCGAGTCTGGTTCTGCCTGATATTCCTTCCTGTCAAAAGGAGGTTTTTCCTTCTCACTGTCACCAAGTGTTTGCTCATAAAAGGTCATATGATTTTTTCTCTCTATTATTGTAGGGTCTTTATCTTATGATATAAAGTGCTTTGAGGCGACTGTTCTTTTGATTTGGCTTTATATAAAATAACATAAACTTAATTGAAGCAAGTTTGTAATTCTCACTGCTGTTGCCAAGGAGATTTGTTGATTCTGGCTGGCTTTAAATTGAAGTGCTATAGTATAAATCCACGTTACTAACTGAAATAAGCCGAGGAGCTGGCGTGCTTTACGATCCATTCAGAGAGCTCATGTATGAGCCTGAACACCTGCGGAAACATGACTCCCGCGGAGGAAGCACCTGATCCACAGGTGCTACTACAGCTAACACTAGCTCGCAGCTACCTGGCTGTTCGATAGGAGCGAGGACAGACGGATAAACGATAGCGATCTTCTCTCGCACAGTATCCCGTTACGGCGATCATGCTAAGTGGCTGGGCTCAGTAACGTGACCGTGATGCAATGAATGAATGTACTCTGAAAAGTAACGTGGCGGTCATGTGGCGAAGGTATTTGAGACGGTGAAAGTCACATAAAAATAAGTATTCAGGGCGAAGGGTTATTAAATGTGTGTTAAAAGCGGCCGGGTACCCTGTCGTGTCGGTCTCCCCGGGCGGACAGCTGGATCTGCAGCCGCCTGACAGCTGATGACAGGAGGCTATCGTGCTAGCTTGGTGTGCTGGCTAACGTCTGTGCCTTCCGTGACATGAGTTCCCACTTATTTAAAGGACTAGCTGCCCTATATGTCCCCGTCTGTGTCACTGCCTCTCCGCGCCCAGCTGTTTTTTAAAGGAAATCATGACTTTCTCCTCCGTCACAGCTCCGGCAGCTAGCTTTAGCCTGCTGCTAAACAGCTGAGGCAGCCAGCTGTAGTGATGCGCCGACACAGAAATATGAGCACAAGTGGCGTTTACATTTTCCAGGGGGAGGGAGGAGGAAACATACACGCCATGCGTGCGATATTTACCTGTAATATGACAGCAGGCCATTGCTGAGGACAAACCACCGCCGCTGGTAGCCTTTCAGATAGTTGGTCCATTTAAAAAGCCAGCCTTTGTAAGTATCCGACCCAGGTGCCGGGGCCGCGGCAGAGGCGGATGCCGAGCCCTTCCCTTGCTCGCTCATCCTCGGCTCCGCCGCACGCCACAGAGTGCTGGATAAACCGGGGGCAGCGGAGACAGGGACACTACCCCCAGATGGTCCACCAGGGCGAGGACCTCGGCACTGACGAATGAGATCGACGGAAGAGGGTCCGGTGTAGGGCGAGAGAAACCACCGTAAACCCCCTTCACATGACGCTGGAATGGACACTGGAGGAAGGACGAGAAGTGATGCCAAGACACTTTGCTGATGCAGACTGCAGAGGATTCAGAGCACAGAGCTGGGCTGGATAGAAGGGAGAGCCCTTAAATGGTCTCAGCGTAACCTGATAAGACTTCCATCAAACTAAATTACTTACATTACGACAGCGATAAACAGTTTGTGGCACCAATTTTAGGGAGAGAGCGGCCGCTACCCCGGCCACTCATTGAGGGGGGTTGCACTGAGGGGGAGTGTCCGCTCTATCAATTCAAGTCTATAATTCAGCCCCGCACCACGTGACGTTGTTATCTAAACATTCCTAAACATTTGACATGCGGTTTTGGCTACTGAATTCAGATCTGATGCTGTCAGACTGAGTAGGGCAGACAAACCAAGTTAATCATCAGTGTTGTTAATCCAGCCTGTGCCTTTGCTTATAATTCAGGTCCTAATAAATCAGTGGCACCGGTGCACATCAGGGTGAGACACTTTTGGCACCCTTTTACTTGTGAAAAAGCACATTGAGTGTAGGGCAATCTGCATTTGAAGTACCAAATAAACCACATGACTAAGAAAGCCGTGCCCCAGAGCTACTGCCTGCTCTTTGGGGGGTTTGCTGTGTTATTACTTAATCTTAAATCTCCGGATTGCCCAGGGCAACCTGTCATTTTATTCTTTTAGTTTGTATTATGCTGTCACCTAAATGGGATCGTGATATATATGCACAATAAACAGGGCCACAGAACCAAATAATCAATTTTTCCACCCACCATCACCAGTACAACGAGCATAAGCCTACGCTTTCACAATGTTATACAAATGTTTGTCCCCAGAGTCCGAATGGAATAAAGGGGAAAGGCTTGTAAAGCTGTGGCCTCTGTTTCCTGGAATAATATCCTACAGAAGGAGATGACATTGTCCACTTTAAAGGAGCGAGAGAATAGCTCTTTTGGTCAGTGTGACTGCTTTTGTAACGATCTGTTATTTATCTGTTATATTATTTGCATGTTTGTGTTCAACTGTGTGTACTGAATGTCAGGTGTATGTCTTTCTTTACTTGTCATACTGTTATGTGTTGTATTTAGTCAGGTCCCTCTTGAAAAATGCAGTCCGTCTAGACTGACTATATCATCACATTGCCACCTTAAACGAACTGAGTTGGTTAAAACTAGTGTGTGGGGGGGTCAGACACATGTTTGAGCAGCAAAATCCAGTAACTGGAAGTGTGTTTGATGCTTCTGATGTGATTCCTGATAACATCGCTTTACCACAAGATGGCAATGTTGTAGAAATGATCCTAATGTGGTGAAGCCATGAGAAGCACATGGAGAAAAAAAGGGATCAGAGCAAGGTTGTTGTTCTCAAATGCTTTTAATAATCATGTGTCAGAAAGAACAAACAAAACAAAAAGCAACCAAAAGCCAAACAAAATTACTTACAGTACTGACACTGTAAAAATAACACAACACAAGTGATGTATGTGATAAAAAACAGTAGCCCTTTTTATTTGAAAATGCACACAAACGAAATGATGAGAACTCATGCTACACACAGTTGCTTTCTAGTTTATCTCTGCTACATATTTCTCTTTTTTTTCCCCAACTAGAAAAACAAACAAACAAACAAAAAATCTAACACAGCCATTTGGCCTGACTGAAGGGTTCAGCAATACACCTTGGTAGAGTATTGTGAGCTTGTGCTCTCACATGCCGGTGAAAAACGACCACATTCACTCCACTCAGCTGCTCATTACAGCGTCAAAAAACCATGTATTACAAAAATTAAACACAGTATCACATTTTCACATCAGTGCAATTAAACCCTGACCCGTTGGCTCTACCAACAAAAGCATGCAACTCAATTAGTCTATGAATCAATCGTGTATATACAATAGATCTGCTTGCTTTCAGTGCTGGCATATTCACATACCTCGGCCTAATGAAATGAAAAGAGTTGCTGTTAATTTCACGATATGACCAATTAGATAGTATTCACATATTGATATGGAAGCCACCGAGTTCTGCGTGTGTATTTCTGCTGGAGCGCAAGTGGATTACATTGACTGTGTGTGGCGAGGCATTTTTAATATAATAATGTGGCACATATAGTCAGTCTGGACATCCCTGTGTGTGTTTATTGCTCCTTTCTAATCCAGTGCTTCAACATCTGTCTGTTATCTTGCCGCGTCTGTCCTTTGCTTGCCTGAATGTCAACTATAAACCTGCCTCTCCCTCTCTCCATCTCTTTCTCTCTCTCTCTCTCTCTCTCTCTCACACACACACACACACACACACATGCACTCCACACACAGGTTCTTGTTTCAGGCTCCGGAGCCTCCTGCAGGTTCCCCGTTCCCTGGATTTAATGTATTCATTAGAAACAGACACTGAGTGAGGGGAGGGAGCAGATTAAAGTCCTACAGTACATGATAAGGGACTGCAGCATTTTCTGCTGCAAGACAACCTTAAAACAGCCTTTCTGTGAACAAGCAGCTTTTACTGTTTTTTTTAAGATTCTAATAGAGGATGGGGGAGAGAACAAAAATGCAGGCTACTTCTCAGAATCTAAAATTAAACACCACCTAACCATATCTATCTATGTACATTTTGAGATAACTGGCACAGAAAATGAGCGCTCTCACTTTTTATCGTTTCCATCTTTTTGCCTGTGGGTCTCATGCACAAATCCCAATAAATCCAGTGATGTGAGCTTCTGCTTTTGACCTTACAGAGTGTGGCAAATTCAAAAGGAAGACTGGATGATATTGCTGCCTGTCCGCTTTGACTCTCACAAACACAGCTTCTGCCCTGTCAGGCCCAGCGACAGACCTTTCATATTGGGAAGCGCAGCCTGAAATGTTGACCTGTGATGTGAGAAACATATCTGTGCTATGCTTTTTGTATTGTTTGTCACCTGCTTTCTTTTTCCCATTTCCTTCCTTGTTTCTACACAGTTGACTAGGAAGTGGTTGGATGACCATGTGAGTAATTTGAGTGTCTTTTACAGCGCACGAGTCTAATAAACCTCATTAAGAAAAATCAGCTCAGTAAAGCAGGAGGCCACGGGGTTATTTTTCCCAGCCATTTTGATAGAAAGTCCTTCTCTCTGCTGCCGCTCCACTCCTGAGTTGGCAGGGGTGGAGGGAGCTCTGAGGGTCACATGATGGTGCAGCGATTCCTCTGTAGCGCCCCCTGCAAACGAATGGAGGTGTGGTTCTGGCGCATCCCCCGTGCCACAGCAATCCCCAGCAGCTCCTTGAAGAGCAGGACTACGTGCCAGTTAAACTTGGCAGAGCACTCCACATAACCGCACTTCCATGTCTTCTTCACCAGAACCGACACGGCCCTGCGAGGCATGAAGCGCTGACGCTGCAGATCTCTCTTGTTACCCACCACCAGGATTGGCACCTCGCTGCTGCTACCTTCCCTGCAGGAGTATGAGAAAAGAAGGTTGTTTTATTTATTTGTATTTTTTTAAACCCAGCAAAGCCATCGTGTTGGTGTTTGTCACAGCTGTTGTCTCTGCATAGTTTTCCCTTCCTTCTGAGGTGTGTGGGGGTGGACTGGAGGATTAAAACTCACAGGCTCAAGGGGCCTCCCACCGCATGCTGCAGTGAGGGCTTTACAGCATTATTGAGTGGGAAAATGTACGGCAAGCCGGAGGGATGTGTTATAAAATTCTAACTCAGAAGCAAAATCGGAATACTTTATTAATCCCAATGGAATTTATGTGGTCACAGTTGCGCGAAGGCAGTAACGAACAAGTGAAAGTACCAATAATAAATAATAGAATATATTACAAAACTACTCTAATATATAAATATCCCCAATATGTTATACTAACAACCTAGGCGCTCCTCTCGTCATACTGACAGTTATCTTCTCTGTAAAGGACGTGCAGATATTAAAGGTAAGACCTGCAAATATAAAGATTAGTCCTGCAGCACTAATGAAAAACATACAGCACCTCCTCAAGTCGACCACAATTAACCGTGATTAGTGATGGTTTAGAAGTGTTTAAATGAAAAGAAGTTTAGTGCAGCAGTGTGGGAAATTAAGTTGCAGGAGTTTAGAGTAAAATGAAATGTTGATGATAACAATAATATTAATTTTGCTGCTTATTTAGGAGGCAAGATCATTGGGTTAATGATTTGTAATAAAAAAAAAAAGCCTTCGAATATAAACTATTTAGGAAAAGCTGTAACAACCGATGTTGAACTCAGAACATCTAGAAAAGACAAGTGTATAAACTGTTTAAACAGCTGCCTTAACAACTTAGCTCTTTCTCTCAGAACGAATGAAGGCGTTTTTTGTACGACAAAGACTTTTGCATACTTTTGCATATTTGCACGTCTGCCTCGACAGATGGACAAAATGGCTCGCCGAAGAGAAAGCGATGCAGCCTGAGAGAGATGAGCGGTGCAATTTTCAAGCCCCGAGGCGAAGTTCTCAAAACTTGGGAGCTGAACAACCACACCGCAGCAATCATCTCACTTTTCTCCTTTTCACAGGTTGTGCTCACATAACAGCCTTAAAAATATCTCCTTGCATATCTGCTCGGGCTTGACTACTTGTGCACAATGAGGTGTACTGAATGTGGGAGGCGGTGTGCGTGATCCCTTCATGAGAAGAGGGGGGGGAGATAGGAATGATGGAAGGACGCAACACTGTCACAAGCCTCACTGAACTGAAGGTAGGCTCCTCGCTAGTGGGAACCAGAATAATAAAAGATTTCTGAGGAACATTTCAACAATAGACTTTTTTTTTTCAACAGCTGACACACAGAGTAAAAAAAAAGCCGATTATTAATGATTCCTCTTACAGTATCTGCCCCCTTCTCCTCCCCTTCCTTTCCTTTCCTTCTCCAGTCTGATGTTAGACTCTCCATGATTGCACATTTTCCCCCTGTTGTCTATTCCTCTCACATTCACCATTTCTTCCATAGTTGCTGGGGATAATGGGTTTCTGTCTTAAATCATAAACATTCGTGGTTACACGTTCAGAGCTGCGAGAAAGTGGGCATCAACTGTGGAGAGGCAGTTTGGTGTTGTACAACATGGCAAACAAATGAAGCCATCCAATGCACCTTTCTATATGTAAATATATGCATGCAGCTGACGACTGGAGAGCGATGGATTTCTGGCCCCATATGCAGCAGGTGCAAAGCAAATCCAGGAAGCATTTACTGTATGTTATCTGTGGGCCTTCTGCACACTAAATGTACGACTGCCCCGAGAATAGCCTTTAAATTACTAGTGTGGGTTTAGGCATCACACAAGAATCAAATGTCATCAGACAGTGAACTGTCATCACGATGAGCGCGCAGGCTAAATTGAAAGATACCTCCACAAGAAGCCTAAAAATCACTGTCACCATCATGTAATTGTACAGCTTTGTGACAGGCTGTGAAATTGTGTGCTGTCTTCAGACGGGTGACGGGATGATTTCATTACAAATCATCAGTGAAGGTTAACAAGCTGTGTGTCAGCGGTTTAACAAAGAAAAGCAGGATTGTTGCATTACATTTAGTTAAAAATGAAATGCAAATCTTCAAATTTATATTCAAATGAAAACAGCACAAAACCAACACATGAGTTGTTGAAATAATTTATTTTTTATTGAATTTGATTTCAGCAACATATTTTTTAAAAGGTTGAGACAGGAGCATGTTTAATACTTTGTTGCCTCTATCTTTCTATGCAGCCATGCTGCCGTAATATAAGTGGAATTTGGTTTCGCACTCTTTATGAAATAAACAAGGCCTTTCCTGAGAAACACCCCCTCTGGATGGCATGTGCACTAATGATCTTCTATACGATTACAGTATGGATGTTGGCTTTTTAAGCTGTGCACTGATAACAATCTGAATAGTCCAATCCTATGCATGACTCGACTACACTAGAATTTCTGTGAAAAACTAAACATCATTACTGCTTCCACTGGAATTAAGATGGTAAGAAACAGCCAGGTGCTGCTAGTCAAATTTAGCTGTTTGTTAAGACAATGTCACAGTCTTTCCAGGAGTGTATGTCCAACCAATTTCACTCCAAGGTCAGACTGTGCAATGCTCAGGGAAACCTTGACAAATTCTAGTTAGTGCAACCGTCAAGTGACGTCTTGGGCTTGTTTTACCTTGCAATCAATGACTCAGTATTCAGTAGAAAAGTATTCTAGATGCCATCTTCCAACAGCTAAAGCTTGCCTGGAATTGGGCCATGCAACAAGACAACGATTCCAAGCAAAGCAGCAAATTTACAACAGAATGTCTGAAAAACAACAGAAACAAAGTTCTGCAACGTTCCAGGCAAAGCGTAGACCTCAACCTGATTGAACTGCTGTGGTGGACTCTTAACAGAGCTAATGCTAACAAACCTCAATGAACTGAAGCAACGTTGTAAAGAAGAGTGGAGCTAAAGTAAAAAAAAAAAGTCAAAGTGAGAGCCTGCTGGGCTCTGTATAAAAATCCCACAGAAAACTATTACTTTACGTTATTGCTGCTAAAGGTGGCTCTACAAGCTAAAACTTTCTTTTTCACATTTTCACATGCTGGGCCTTTATTTTTTGGTATTTTGTACTTTGATGATAAAATCCCTGAAACTCTTTGTAATTTTTATGTTCTAAACATTATTCTTATGCATTTATTTGGTAAACCGACCATCCTCTTAATTCTCAGTTCTGAAGCCTCTGCCTCTGTGGGATGCTCTTTTATGTTACTGACCTGTTGCTAATTAACCTAATTAGCTCTGAGATGTTCCAACAGCTTTTTTTTTT